TGAGAAAAATGCCCATGGGTTATAAACCTGCAATGGTGAAGCCATGGTTTGTGCACAGACTACAGCAGGAGAAACAGTTTGCATGCTGATAGCTGAGCCAGTTGAAGGGGGACCAGATGCCCTATTATCCATACAGTTAGACATGAATGCATCGGCCAACATCTTATTCTTGACAACTTTACTGTAATTCAAATCGAGCTCCTTTTGCATGACAAGAAACTCTGCTTCTTTCTCAATGATTTTAGAATCATACTTTCTACGAATGTGAGCTACAACCAGTTCGATCTTCTTGTCACATTCCAATTTCAGCCGCAGCTTTGTTTCTTCGTGAATCTTGGTGGTTTGATCTTTTTCTTTCATTATTCTTTCCATTTCAACTTGAAGTGGATCATGATACATTGTCAAAGGCATCTGAGATGAAACAGCAGGTGCAGTCCTCAAGGAAAGGACATTAGAAACAGGTGGGATTGGAAATTCCCTCGGAGCCTGACAACTTTGGTTGGAAGTTTGGCCTCCGTTGTTTGATCTATGCTCGACTGCACTAACGACTTTAATTTCCACAACCTTGGCATCGGGATTGGACACGTTGTGAGTCACATCAATGGCACCATTAAATGTTGAAGTTTCAGCTGTCTGGGAAGCATTTTGCATTTTACTGTTTGCATGGCATCCTGCTGCCACTTCAGAGGAAGCATATGGAAGAGAATCGATATTTGTGAATAACAGAGTCAATGCAGTCTCGGTGGTGGTCTCCTCCGATTACTTTTCTGTCATTTTGATTTTATTGTTGTTCGATTTCATTGATTTTCAGATATATTTTAATGTATTCAAAATAATATTTTCTCTTGACATTTTTTCTAATAAAAGATATCATGACTATTGATTTTTTGGACTCTAGATCAATGTAGGTTTCTTCTATTAGTCTTCTTGATCTATGGCTCTTTGGGATTTCATGGTTGTTTGCTTTTCTTATGTGTAGTACCTTTGTTCGTTTGTATATGACATTCTGTTGATTCTCGATCATGCGTCAAACGAGACTGCGATTAAAGAATGATTCGTTTTTCATTCACTTTTTGATATACTTCAGGTTTTCCTCCTCTATGTATGATGCTTTGGGAAGTCGGAGTGATCTATCTCTGTATGTCATTGGTTCAATTAGTCACACTCTTGCTCATTAGGTTGTTATTGGTCGATCGCCGATACATTTTACTTATGATACACATGAATATTTGTTTTATACACATAGAGCAAAACATCGTGGACGATGTTTTATTTGGTCAATAAATATATTATAGTTCTACTTTTTATAAAAAAATTAGATCAAAAATAAATAAATAAATAAAATTTATTATTAATAATAATTATTTTTAATTAATTTTTGTCATATTAGGCTCGAATAAAAAAGGAAAGGCACTTCTCACAAAGTTTTTATTTATACAATATTTTTATACGAGTACGATGAAGAATCTTCTCAAGTCTGAATTATATTTTTAATATCAATGCACAATTTACACAAATAATAAATGATTCTTTCATGAATAACTCTTACGAAATTAGACAAATTTTATATATTTTTAAATAATTTATTGATTAAAATCTGAAGGTAATGAAGAGACTTTTGAATTTGAGTTTATCATCTTACCTTTTTATTGCGTATGATTTACATTTTATATTTTTGTTTCGTATATTCATTTATTTAAATCTCTTGATTATAAGATAAATTATATATATGTGACCATTTCATTATAAAAAGATTAAGAAGATTTTAATTTGATGATTGATTTTTTAATTTTTATAAATTAAATTATTTAAATGATATTAATCAAATTATTTGTTGTTTCAATAAATGAAAAAATTAAATTATAAATATTTTCTTTATAATGAATCTATATAGTATTTACTAAAAACTAATTGAATACCAATAAATATATAAACTTGAATTTTCCTTACAATTTCATCAACATATATTCAAGTCATTTTAAACCTTTTTCTCAGCATTAAAAACATGAAAAAATTATAAAGTAATTACGTCATGGAGAAATAAAAGATCCCCAAGAATCCACGTATAGTTGCATTAACAGATGCTTGTATACCGTTTTTGTTTTTTTTCTTACCTGTGTTTGTTTAATCAGAAAATTCGGGAAACAACGATTTCAAGAAAGAGCAATGGAAAGGAAAACAATACTTACAAGAAAGAAAATACTCATATAGATTGATTTCACAATCTTACAAAGACTGAAAGAAAGAAACAAAAAACTTTAGACGAAAGAAAACACTATTAAAAATGTTAAAATCTGCTCTAAGTCCCTTATTCTTTGTACATTTGGAATTCAATAGGGATTAGTCCCCTAAATTCTTTGGTAGAATTGTATTTTAGGTCCTTGTTTGTTTAAATATTAGTTAAATAAGACATTTGGACCTCTTAATTTTTAAATTTAAATACTTAAGAGATCATTGCTCCTTCCAATATTTGATCTTACCTCCATCTATGAAATTCATTTAATCTACTTTTATTTTCAGAAATTTAGTCTCTCTGCTTTTCAAATTTAAAAATTTAGATCCAATAGATACGGTTTTTAAAATATTTCTATTAAATTCATTGATATCACATACAGACACATGATAAAATTTTTGGGACCGAAAACATGTTATTAATAGAAAATACAAAATATATCTAAATTATATGTGTATTTGAAATTTTAAAAAATACGGGTTCCCCGTCAGACCTTTCGATCTATCCTTGATTGGAGTGATATTTTAAAGGGTAAACTACATATTTAGTATCTAAATTATCAAAACCATACATGCCTTTTAGTTTTGTTTCATTTTAGTACCACACCATTAAAAACTTAACGTGTTTAGTACCTAAACTATCAGCTTTGATCTATTTTAGTACCTAATTTTCAATTCTTTTCAAAATTTAAAGTTAAATTTTGAACGGAGGTACTAAAATGAAACAAAAACTAAACTTTAGGTATGATTTTAAAAAAATTAAAAGTTTAGGTACTAAGACAGACCAAAACTAATAATTTATGTACTACATACGCGATTTACCCTATTTTATAATAGAAATGATACTAACTTGACTGATAACCCGTCTAGCTCAGTTGGTAGAGCACAAGGCTCTTAACCTTGGGGTTGTGGGATCGAGTCCCACGGGGGGCAATTCATAATTTAGAGGTCTCCACGGAAGCTGCTCTCAACCTGGTGTTGGGGACAGCTTATATCTTACCTCCCCTTACCCCCTTACATATGGAATAAGGGTCAGCTAATATAAATATATATATTACGGTGCTAACAGTCGAACTTTTGAATCCAAAAGGTAGAGGGACTATATCTTCGAGATAGAAGTAGAGGGACTAAATTTTAAATATACAAAAAGTGCAAGGACTTGAAACATATCAAAACAACAAGGTTTTAGGGCGATCAGATGCAGGGAAAGTAGAGAGGGAAACGCCCATAACGGGGACGGCGAAAGAGGATTCCATGAACATTCTTTGTTGAAAAGCCTCGACGCTTGCACTTGCTTCCACCAGATCCTTAATCAAGTTCCTATAATGTTTCTTTAGCTTCCTCAACATGCACGTATATTGCAACTTCACCCATTTTATCTTCTTCTTCAAAACCTTCACTAAGTAAACCCTCCCCCGTTGTTTCTTTCCGCCGAGTCGAACCGTGGGTAGCTTATTCTTTTGTCGGCGGAGGAAGAAGATCCTCCGCCGTGGGTGGTGGTGATGGGTTTGGAATGTGGTGGCTATATCAGGCTTGGGGGTGGTTTGATGGTCTACGGCCATGGTGTAAAGAGTATCTTTTAGAGACATTTAGTAGAGTTTGAGGGAATAACTTTCTAAGGGAATTAAGAATAGAGAATCCAGCGTGAAAAATAATCTATTTAGAAATATTTTTTTTTGGGTGAATACACATATTTTCATCATAATATAAATTTTTTATACATAATTGAGTAAAAACAAAATTTTATGTTTACATAATCAGTGAAATGAATAATTAATATAAATAAATTTAAATTTCAAGATGAGTATTTGATCATCCTAAACTTTACTTGGATTAATATTATTTGAATATATCATGTCCGTTTGATTTTGATCTATAAATTTATAATATTATAATTATGTTTTTTAATAGTATAATGTGATTACAGAGTAGAATATGTTTAGAAAATTCTTTTAACATTTTGATAACGTACACCACACCTTGTATACGCAGATGTTCGAACCCAAATCTTCTAGGGAGAACAATATTCATTTTTAACACTGAGATTATTCAATGAATTTTGATATTAATAATATTTAAAATGAATTATTATTAATTTATATGATATATACACACCAATACAATCATTAAAAAAAAATTAAAGAATGGACTAATATGATAAATACATTCAGATGTTGGTTTAAATGAATGAGTTTTACGTAGAAACCAAACAACAAATAAACACATTGTGGTATATAATAATACATTCGTGGAATATAGAAGAAGTGCTCGAGTGTTAACTATGAAGTATATTAGTCTTAAATTTTTCATAAGAGATTCAATAATGTAGTTTTTCATCGAATGTCTCCCGTCAGACGCAAGTATAAAATCAACGTCCATTATGGGTCCGTAAATATAAATATTATACATTATCTCCTTAAAAATACTAAATATTATTTAAATAACTTCAAATTAAATTTAAACTCGAAACAGCTCATACAAATGCCAACGAATGTGACAATTATAGTTATAAGAAAAATCATAAAATATAGTTTGCTGATACCTATAGGAATCGATAGCAATATTATATAATTTTTCAACTTTACATGACATCATGCATTACGCTTAAGATGATCAAAGTACATAAAAAGACATTTTTAGAGTATTTATTAATTTTGGGTTTAATTAATATATAAGTGTTATACTAGTGATTGTAATTTGTAAATGTGGAATACTTAGCTTTTCGAACGGCTGGTTTTGTGTGTCGTCTATTAAATCGCACTGGCGCTTCATTTTGAACCTTTTCATAAAATCAATGAGCAGGGATGGGCATGGGCATGGGTCGGGTTGGATTTTCGGCCAGCCCGATCCAATCCAAAAATTATAAATACTCCACTCGATCAAAATCGATTTGATTTTTTGAGATAAAATCTGAACTCGACCTGATTTGACCCGATCCGAAATTATATATTTATTAAAAAATATTATTTTTATTCAATAAAAATATGGATTTAATTGAATGAAAAATAATATATAGAGGGGATATTATTGTGATTATCTCTAAATATACAAGATAAAACTATATAAAAAAATTGGATCGGTATTTTTCACCCTAAACTTGAACTCGACCCGACCCAAACATAAACTTTTAAAAAAACCGACTCAACCCGACTCAAATTGAATTTTTTTATGAAGAAAAAATTATTCATGGATACATGGATTCTATTACAAACCTTCGTAGTTATTAGTTTTAAATAAGTACGGACTTGGTGGTTAAAGTTAATGTTGTTCTTCGTTAAAGTTTTGGGTTTGAGTAGTTAGGTCTATAAGGTGTGTGTTTGTTATCAATGATTATGAAAGATTATGAATAATATTACTTTATAATCACCCTAAATTATTAAAAAAATAAAAAAAAATGACTTGAACCTATCTAATGACTTCAATAATTACAGGGAATATTATTTTCTCTAGAAGTCTTAAGTTTGAATAGTTACCCTACAAATTGTGTGATGTCAATAGCTAAAAGAATATGAACATATATTATTTTGTAACCATCGCATACTATTAAAAATATATATGTGATTGTTTATACTACTTATTCTTTGTAAAAATAAATCTTCCTTACTATTAACTTTAAATAATAGGTGAATTATATAAATAATTACTAAAGTATGAATAAATTCATGTGGAATAAAATTTAAATATTTATGAGTGTTATAATATCGAAACGATTATCGACAAACAAATAAACATGATCGAAAGAGAAAAATAAAAAATACCAAGATTTTACGTGAAAACCCCAAAAAGGAAAAACCACATACAGATGAGAAGAATTTTACTAATATAAAGGAAGAAGATATAGAGGATTTTGATGAAAGAAAAGAATTTGATATCTAACCCTTTACCCTTAGTATCTATTTATAGTGATACATATTTGATTACAAAGGAAAACTAAATAAAGTAAAAGTTACTTTATAAAAAGTACTTTAATAAAATACCTACTTTTAATCAAACTAGGATTCTTACTTTCTCAATTAAATATTAATTAGTTTGTGTCACTTTGAATTTGAGTCAAACTATAACAAATCTCCACCTTAACGCGAATTCTGAAAGTGCGAGACAAAACACTAAAATTATATGAGGCATCCAATCTCAACAAAAAAAATCTTCATTTCAACGAACAAGCTCTCCACCTCTTCCACAACAACCCTCAAAGGGGTAATCATCTTCAGCAATGAAAATCGATCAAATCCAAGCTTAGAAGAATCCAAACTTTTTCTAAGCTTGGATTTAGCCTTCACATCGACATGGTTATCATAAATGCCAACTTTGCTCACAGATGTATCACCACGAGCAATATCATGCATAACACGATCCCAATAATCAATGATAATTCTATTTTCAATTTCATTATGCCTACGAAATTGAACTATTTTCTGCTTCAGTTAATAGTTTTGTCCACAATTATCTTGTTCAACAAAAGGTCTTCTTTTGCTAGATTTAGTTAAGACGTTTTTACTAGTAACAAAGTTATTTGACACGAGTAGGGTTGTAAATGAGACGAGACAGATCACGAGCTATTCGAGATCGACTCGATCAAGGCTCGATAAATACTCGGATCGAATGAACTCGACTCGAGCTCGACTCGAGTTCTTAACGAGCTAAAACGAGCTACTCGATATTCGACTCGAAAAGCTCATGAGCAGCTCGAAAATATAATATATTAAGATTTTATTTAAAATAAATTAATAATAATATTAATATTTATGTATTGATTTTTTTTAAAATACAGTAAGATTTCATATATTTAAGGTTCATGTTCGAGTTTGAGTTTGAGGCTTCAATCGAGTTAAGTTTAAGATTTTTTTTTTTCATTTCGAGCCTTTTCGAGCTGCTCGTGAGCTTCAGTTCAGGATTTCGAGTTCGAGTCGAGCTTGAAAATTTTAATCTCGCGAGTTTTCGAATGGAGTCGAGCTCCATTTCAGAGTTTTTGAGTCGAGTCGAGCTCAGCAATACTCGAGCTCGACTCGGCTCGTTTACATCCCTAGATACGAGTGATGAAACATCAGCTGTATTATCTAAAACTATTGAACCATGTAGAACATAAAACTTGGCAATCTTTCTCTTCCCTTTCATCACAACAAGAGAGCCCTTGCAAATTTTCATAGCTCCACCTTTACCGGAGAATTTGTACCTTTTTGAATCTAAAGTACCTAACAAAATTAGATTTTGTCTCAAATCTGGAACATGTCTTACATTACCAAGTGTTCGAAAAATCCCATCAAACATTTAATCTTGATCGTGCCAATACCTATGACTCTATAAGAGACATTATTTCCCAAAAATACATCACATGTAGGTACAACTTTATACGTCGCAAACCAATCACGATTATGAATCGTATGAAAACTGCTACCATAGTCAAGTATCCACTCATAACTTGTTATAGAGTTGTCATCAGCCGCAACTAGGAGTTTTCCGTCATTGCACTCATCTGCTACACTGATCTCACAAGATTTTCTGGAGTTTTGCTCTTCAACTTCTCTCTTAATTTTATTATGTAACTTGTAACACACTTATTTAACATACATTTCTTTTTGCAAAAGTGACATGTTTTACCTTGGTTGGAAGATTTTGATCTGTCTTTTCCTTCATCACTAGAAGAACGCTCGCCTTTTCTTCCTTGGTCTAAACTAGTTATCCATGCACCACAAGACCCTCTTCCTAGGGCTCGAAACCAGATACAAAATGCTTCATATTATCAAACGTGTGCAGGCTATTGTACATCTCCTCAAGAGTGAGTGTTAAACGACTGTACAAAATTGTGTCTTTGAAAGATGAGTAGGACTGATGTAGTGAACACAAGAGGATCGACCCTAAATCTTCTTGATCATACTTCACTTCTAAAGTCTCTAAATTAGAGACAGTTTCCTTAAGTGTGGTTAGATGCTCTTCAAGAGACAAACCTTCAGCCAACTTGAGCGAATAAAGACGTTGCTTTAAGTGCAACTTGATGGTCAACAATTTTATATGCATAGTTTCTCTAATTTCACTCATAAAGAAGCAACCATTTTTCTTTCAACAAATCCTGAAATATTTGATTTGATAAGTGTAAACAAATATGAGATAGGCTTTACGATCCTTGCGTTTTTCTTCGTTTGTCCAATTTGACGATTTCTTCTTATCAAACTCTTCCAATGCATTATCTAAGTCTAATTGTGCAAGGACATCCTGAATCTTCACATGCCACAACGAGAACATGGTTTTTCGATCCAACGGCAAAATATCATATTTTATTGTTGCCATAATCTTGAACCCGAAGCTCTAATGTCAATTGTTATAATATCGGAACTATTGTCGGTAAACAAATAAACACGATCGAAAAAGGAAAATAAAGAACATCAAAATTTTACATGGAAAACCCAAAAGGGAAAAACCACAGGCATATGAGAAGAATTTCACTAATATAAAGGAAGAAAATACAAAAGGATTTTGGTGAAAGAAAAGAATTTGATATCTAACCATTTACCTTTAGTATCTATTTATAAATATAGATATTTGATTACAAAGAAAAACTAAATAAAGTAAAAGTTATTTTATCGAAAGGACTACTCTACTTCAATAAAGTTCTCTACTTTTAATCAAACTTGAATTCTTACTTTCTCAATTAAATATTAATTAATTTGTGTCACTTTGAATTCGAGTCAAACTATAACAATGAGAAGAAAAGGAAAATGAGAAGAAGTAGATAAAATATTTATCTTGTTAACAATTGAGTGATCTATTTGTTACAAAATAATAATCTTAGTAACAATCTTATTAATTTTTAAACTTTAATTCTAAAAGGGAAACTTACTCATACTTTAATAAATGTTTATGTAATTTACTTTTTATATTTTTAAATGAGAGTCAAAGTGACTGGTTAAAAAGGTGTTATTGGGACTAAACAGAGTCAACTCAGCCATCCAAACGTGCCACATCATACTTTCTTGATTGTGATAATGACTTGATGGTTAAGTATTTGATTTGCTACAAAATGATAATATTAGTGACTGTTTTATTATTTTTGAAACTTCAATGTTGAAAAATTCTTATTCATACTTTAGTGATTATTTAGGTAATTTATACAAAAATTAATTGTTCACCTTATACATGGCCCAACCCAATATGATGAGTTTTTTTTCTTTCTAATTATTAATTTTGAACTTTAGAAGAAAAAAAACATTGCGCCATGGTTTAAAACTTGTTAAAAGTTTTGTTAGGGTTGGGATGAAGGGTAGTCTTTGAAGATATCATGTCATAAGGTAGTTCAATTTACCCTTTTTGTTCACAGAAAGAATAGAATCATTCAAATAAAGAATGCAATATTCTACCTTACATGATTAAGGTCCAATCAACCAATGTGATGAGACATTAATTAAATTATACCACTAACAGACAAGAGAATCTAAAGTTAAATCTCACCCAACTCTTTCTTCTTTTTGGTAATAAGAGACAAATCATGGTGAGATCAATGTTAATTTTGATTAATCAGTCCGTAGTTGTCTGTCGGGTAGATATTTATTCAGACTATAACAAAAACCCATTCTTCTTCTTCCTTCTGAAAAATTGCATATTGGTTGGGGTTTCTCCATGAATCATTGAGGTCCTGTTTTCTATTTGATTTTCTCTTTATTTCCATATTTTCACTATTTTATTTATTAAAAAATCAACTAAAATTAAGTCTATTTTTTTTACTATATTTGAATTCAAAACCCAAATTGAATACTAATAATTGGAATAAAAAATAATCATATATTGTTAAGAAGAAAAGTAGAAAGAAACAAAAGAAACAAAACAAAACAAATGAATGGTTCCTTTTTATCCATATAATAATGTTTAGGAGTAATTAAAAAAAATAGATGAACAACTGTTTAAATTATTGAGGTTTTAAATGGGTTCATCAGTTAACTTTATTATGTTCATCTCATAAAATATGTACACAATCGTCAATTATTTTTCTTTATGTTCAAAACAAAGCAATAGATTAAAGAATCATTTTAGACCAAAATAAACGAGTTCTGCACTTGTTTATATAAAAAATATATTAGTTTATTAATCCAACAAATTCCATGATAAATTTCTGTAAAACTTGGCATTTATACCGAAAAATCACCCTTAGACCTAATAATTACATGTCAGACACCTTCTTCCCAAATATTATTGATCTAGCACTCTTTCTGACATAGTAGTAATAAAGCACGGATTGTCAATCGCACTGTCGCGGGGTTCTGTCCGAACTGGAGTCACGTAAGGAAAAACGCGAATGGCCATCCGCGTCTTCCACTATGCAAGTTGAATTGTTGGATCTCTATTATTACCCAAGCATGAAAACTCGACTTTTTAACGATCCCCCTCCCCTATAAATAACCCTCTGAATGCAAACATCACCACACCAAAATTACTTGCTTATTTTACTTCTATTAATTCATTTTATCAAGCTAAGTAGATTTTGTTATTGTTTTTATAAGGTAAAACTATTTTTTTATTATAATATATTTTTTTATATTTAATTATTTGAACAAATTTTGTTGTACTAATTATTTTGTATTATTTTTTGCGGTTGTAAAATTGGAAGGCGGGATCCTACCTCGAGACATTTTGTCGATACGGTAACAATATGAAATTGTGTTATTTAAATTATTGTTAATTTTTTTAATGTTTTTGGATTAGTTTATATTTTAATTCATATATTATTTTTTTAATTAGGCGTATTTTAACTATTGTTTTTGCAGATATAAAACTCTCAATCTTTTAAACTCTCACAATGACTCGTATTTCAACTATTATTTACTATAATGGAGAAATTCGAGAAGATGAAACCAGCTTTGTCATCACATCAAATCATCTATCAGACTATCATTCAAAAGAAACATCACTCTTGAGGAGTTGATCACTAATATTTCAAGGAAGATTCATGTTGGAAGTACTAGAAGATTGTCCTCACTTCAGTACAGATTTCCAACCGCAGTATTTCGTTAACTTATACAGCGTTCAAACTTTCCAACGATGACGATGTTACTATGATGGTTGATTCTCAAAATCAATATTCAAATGCCGATACACGAATGTATGCGGCGTTTGTTGAAGTACCTACGGTTCGTGGTATATCATTATGCTCTCACTATGGACTGGCTCAACAAGTTGATCAAGTTGACAACCCAACTTAAGTAATGTGTAATGATTTTAACTCATTAATGGGAAATCCACATCATGGTGCCATCCCATTAAGTTCAATTGGGAGACATTAATCAGTAAGTTGTTACGATCTATACCGAGATGGCTCTACAAAAAATTGTTATGACTACATTGCTTCCAGTTTAAGGGGAAGTTATTCATTTGCCAATTTATTTGACCTGAATATGGAGATACCCTCGATACAGCAATTTATACAGTACCCATTTGACACGATGTCTTCAAGTTCCAAGGAGAGGTATTCAACTACGAGCTTCTTTGACCTCAATGTACAGATGTCTTCAAGTTCAAGGGGAAGTCATTCAACTACCACCTTGTTCGACCTAAATGTTGGTATCATGAAGGAACCCTCATCTCCACCAAAAGAACCTCTTCGTGAGTCAGGTGCGGATGGTGCTTAGACTGGACTATTCGTTCAACGAGAATCACCGCAGTTCAACATGGACTCGATGATGATGATACAGATGAAGTTCCCACAAATACGGTACACACTGAACCTCTAACACATATGTATGAAGCTGACTATAATGCAATGTACAAGTTAGAATTTACGGATATGAATAATGTTAGTGACTACAGATTTAACTCATCAGTCAATAATGGTGAGTTATATAAAGGAATGGAGTTTCCATCCAAAGAAGAACCGATGTTGGCAATTAAAAATTTCAACATTCTAATTATGTTCACTCTAGAGTCGAACGTTCCACAACTGAAAAGTATGTTTTCCACTGTGTCCAACGTGATAAGCGATACAACTGGATGGTTCGTGTATCGAAGAGGAAGAGGAAAAACAATATATGGGAACTAACATTATACAATGGTCCTCACACATGTTGTGCTAGAGGTATCAACCAGGATCATCCCAACTTAGACTTCGACATTATCTGCCAAACTATCATGCCCATGGTTAAAGCAAGCTCCTATATAGCTATTGCGGTGCTGATTTCAGCTATGCATACGTAATATGGGGACATCGTCTCATACAAGAAAACATAGAAGATAAAGCAGAATGTCATTAAAAAACTTCGCGGCGAGTGAGATGTATCTTACAATGAACTACCAAGTTGGTTTAGGGTAGTGTGCAGATTAAATCCTAGGACAATTGTCGACTTTGAAACATGCCATGCATACCACAATGATCGAGTGATTCACGATCGATGCCAATTTTATCGGATTTTTTGGACTTACCCACAGTGCATTAATGATGGGACATTCTTTTATGGAAAATACAAGGAAGTTTTACTATTGGCAGTTGTCCAAAATGGTAATCACAACATTCTTCCAATTGCTTTTGGCCTTGTTGAAGGAGAAGATACAAATTTTTGGGGTTTTTTTTCTAAAAAACTTACGCTTACATGTTCTCACGAGGGAAAAATCTATGTCATTTCAGATCGCAGAGCTGGGATCAAAGAAACAATGGATTCTTTGGGTCCAATATGGCAACCACCCTATGTCCAACATTAGTATTGTATCTTACACATTATTTCTAGCTATCATGAAAAGCTCAAGAAGAATGATGAGCGTCAATTACTTATGCGCATGGGTATGTCAAAAGCCTAATTTTATTTCTCAATCATTTTCATTTTTTTATGGAAACTTAACAGTAAGTTCTACATTTGACGCTAAGGTTACAAACTATTACCTGAAACATTTAAGTCAATGCTTCAAGATTTGTGAGGAAAAAATGAACAAGGATACAATTACATCAGCCACATCAACAAAGAAATGTGGACAAATACATATGGTGGATATCGATATGGACACATGATGATCAATTTGGTTGAGGCTATCAATTCAATCTTAAAGAGGGCACACCATTTACCAGTAACGACTTTGGTTAAGACGACGTATTTTCATTTGGGAACGCTTTTGCCAAGCTCAAACTTGGATACAAAACGACCATGTCTATCACCCAAGATTAGTTGTAGATCAACAAAAAAGAATTGTTGCATCAAATGGAATGTCTGTAACAATCTTCTCTAGAACCCATGAATTACTTTGTGTCACAGAGATGTTGTGACTTTTTCAAGGGATTCAAGCTAACTCATTCAGAGTTAATCTATGAGATATGTAGTGTGATTATGGGTTTTTTCAAGCCCTGAAGTATCCATACTCCCATGTCATAACAACTTGCTCTCATACCTATCAAGACTATAACCATTTTTTGATCTTGTATACCGACTTTTAGAAGTATTTAAGGTATATAAATTTGAGTTCCCTCTATATATAATGAGAAAGACCCTGATGAGGTTCAGAACTGGCTTTCAATTGTACCAGATCTTTTCTTATTAAGGGAGCTCAGTCATCCAAAATCCACTCGAATTCATTCTAATATGGATATTAGGGAGACGTCTAGAGAAAATAAAAGATGTAGGGCATTGTAGAAACCTAGGACACAATAGGAAAAAATGTTCATCTCTTTTGTCATCAAGTAACCGTTGATGTTGTGACGATGTAATTGTTGTTTATGAAATATAAGTTTGTGTTATTTAATTTTCATTTACTTTCAATTAATGTCATTTGGCATCACCAAGTAATGGCCTACTCAAGTGAAAATTAAATAAAAACATTACAAACTAAATATAAGAAAATGATACAATTCAAACAAAAAAATAACTAAATAGAAACATTAAATGCATAAGATACAATTTGAACAATTAAATAATAAAAACATTAACAACATAAATAAATAAAAGTCAATATTTAAATAAAAACTTTACAATTGCTAGTAAACAAAGAAAATTAAATAAAAACATTACAAACTAAACAACTCTATCGATGAATGTGTCTTAAATGTATTCCGTAGGATGATGACTGTCTGTGTCGATGAGGATTTCTTCGTATAACTTGTTATTCCTCCTTAATCTCATCATCAGGAGAAACTACATTTTGTTGATGAGAGACGGATGATAACATAACAACTCCATAGAATAAGGACCCTAGAGGTGTATGACTGACTATCGTACTGCTCATAGAAAACTATGATATCTGTGAAAACTAGGAAAACATTGACATTGATGAGTGCGAAAACTGTGACGGAGATCTCTGTGTATGTGGTGAACCTTCACCCGCCAAATAAGCAACATATGAATCTCACGCTGGATCTACAAGCATGGAAGTATAATATCTGCTAAGAGGGGTTATAAAACTCCGCGACAATGGTATCTGAACCAGCTGCAGTTGTATCGAACCTGATAGTGGTGGCATCTAATATAGAAACGGTGGCATATGACTCGACTAAGG